ACTCATATCATTGTGGAAAAATTCTTCTACCAGTCCTTCATCACCTTAAACGAAATTGGGTGAATACATCACATATTACTGAATTGCTGGTAGTCTCGAAACAATACTTAAATGCGAAAAATATATCTATCTAGGCTTTTTAATTGCCTTTGCTTAGTTGGGTCTATATAAGAGGTAAGTTAGAGCCAGATAATCTTCTTTCCTAGTGTTAACGTACACTTTTACAGGGATAAGGCCCAGCTCTGATGATGTCCATGATATGATGGACGAAAACTCAGTTCGTTTTCACCCTGAACAAGCGAAGGCGTCTCGTGGACTGCGTCAACTTGAACATCGTATTAAGGCCAAACGGCAGCAGTACAACTGGATTCAGCCGTCCTCTTCTGGTGAGATAAACCTAGGTATCTCTTCTTTATGTACTTTCATAAGAAATAAAGGTTTCCCCAACAAAAGGCATATCACCCATTATCAGTCAGTCCGCATTCTGTACCTGGGTATCTGCGAATAAATCACTCTCTAGGTCAAAAATTCAATCACCCAACCAGGGGCTCGTTTAGTCATATAGTCTCTCCCTCATTAAATCAGTCCTTTGGTTATTAACTCGGTCGGCTGACTCAATCATTCGACAGTTATCTAACACCGCAGAAAGTTCTAACTAAACATTTGCATATTTTTAGCTTCACGAGAAGTTAGCACGAACTAATTACTTCCTCTCTATTTGCTTCCCAAATAAGATTAAGGTTCAACATCGCCTAATCAAATAAATGCACATTTATTTTTATTTCAAGCTTTTTAGCACATATAGAGAACCAATTTATGGCTTCAAAGGATAAACAGATATTAGTTTACATGTATCTGAAATTTTTTTCAAAAAAAAAGAATGCAGAAGGTCTTACTGAAAATGTCCTGGTGATCGGCCTGACATAAAAGCTTTTTCAGTAAACTCTTGATTCAATATTGCAGTAGCGTTTGACCAAAGGCAAATGAAAATAGAATAACGGATTATAACCTTCTGGTATATGGGCTTGCTCTTCTTCTTCTACTTTCCGAACTTTGCTCTCTACTATTTCTACCTCCGGTGGTTTTATTGGTTCATCTTTTGATTTAGCTTCCGATTCAAGATATTGGGACACTTCCGATTTTTCATTCCTCAGATCCGGCTCTGCATCGATGTATGGCTCAACTTCAAGTGTATCCTCTACATCTGCTTGAACGGAGCTAATTATACTTTCTTTGATGCGGGATTCGCTCTGGGAAACGACCTCTACCTTCTTCTTCTTTTTCTTCCTTTTTCCCTTTTGGCTGCTTGGGGTTGTGGCTTCTGAATTTGTTCTACTTTTACTTATTTTATTTGATAAATTCTCTGTCTCAAACTGCTCCTTATCTTTCTCTTTCTTCTTTTTTGGCATGCACATTGGAGTAGTCCTCAGGAGCTGTTGAGACGACCAGCTAACCGGCAATAAGAAGGCCCAACATGTAAATAGAATAAGATAAACATCGATTATTTGCAAAAGAATAGTGAATTTGAATAATTGGCTGAACATTAAGTGGCTGACGGATTAATTCTCATTGTCGCAGTTAATTTACTGTTTACAGTAAGAATATGTCAGTTGAAGTGAATGAATAAACACATTCTTATATCAAGTAGTATTAATAGCTACATGATAAGTGCAATCAATATATAGCAGGAAATTTGTTGTCAAACATATAATGTATGTATCCTTTCTTTCTTCAGTTCATTGCATTGAATGCATAAGACAAATGCTGTTTTAAAATGGCTTTCAGATAATAAAATGAATGCACCAAAATTATGTGCCTTTTCTGTAGACAGTTTGCCGAATAATTGAAAGGTTCATAGCATTTTTTAATAAAAGAAGTAATATTTGTCTCAACAAGTCCTAGATAGAATGAGGCTGGAATTATTGACAAGAGAGCGGAAGGTTAAATACAACGAAAATTTATGAAAGAATTTAAAGTTGTAGATATGAAGAGAAACTGGGTTTCGATGAATCTCTTGAGATAACATTGTTAGGGGGACTTTCATTTCGTATGAGAGTGAATGAAGAAGAGATTCGTGTTCTTGCCCTAATGATAAAGTGATACTTTTACAAGAATAACACCCAGCTCCGATGATGTCCATCAGATGATGGACGAAATCTCAGCATGTTTACACCCGAAACGAGGGAGGAGGTATCGTGGACTGCGTCAACATGAACAACGTATAAAAGTCAAACGGCTGCAGTACAACGAGATTCATCCGTCCTCACTTGATGAGATCGACCAACGAATCTTTTTTTCATTCACTTTCGTACGAAATGAAAGTTCCCTTAACAAGTTAAAAGTGTACGATTATAGTAATAATGACAAGGCCATTGTTAGGGGGACTTTCGTTTCGTATGAAAGTCCCCCTAACAATATTATTTCATAGACTTGTCATCTAGATACTTTTCTTATGAGAGGAAGAATGGGGCGCAAATGAGCATTAAAAGGTGTATTTAGATCCCAAGTAAACTGTAGCCGACCTGTGTCTATTATTGAGCTGATGGTATCTTGCATGAACGCCACACAACCGATTTGGGTCATTCTCCAAACTTTTTAAAGAACAAAATTGTTGGAAAAAGGAATTTGTTTATTGTTTGACTGAAAGATATTGTTTTTTGCTATTGACTTTGTCTAGAGTGACAACTGTATTTGGGCTCCATTAAGTCACAGCATGGGCTACTTATGTTATTTCGTAGCAAACACAATTATTTTATAATATTACTAATTCAAAAGAAACAGGCTGTTGCAAATGAATATTGTTCAAAGTTGTAGGTCAAAATACCGCATAGTTACATAAAGCCTGTCTTATCTTTAAAGTAAAAAAGAAAAGTGGATATAATAATCAAATACAAGGCAGTATGCATGTTTTCTTGGGATGTGGCTTAAATAGAGCCGATTTCCAGAGACCAAATCATACTGGGTCTCTATCAGGAAAGGATAACGTTCAGCACCAGTATTCAGGAGATATTTACAATAAATTGCTCTTCAGGATTCTAGTAAACGATTATAATTAGATGGAAGCATCGATAGATCTGGATCCATAAAAAGTTTTTATTTGAAATTAATGATACACAATGGAAACCTGTGAAATCTCCTATAAATTAATATTTTTCAAGAGTTACTTGCATTTATGTTTGAGTGGGTTACGATTCAAGTAAAAATTAAATAAAAAATGTATTTATCCTAGGTTACACATGGTGATGAAGGAATAATTAATGAATTTCCCGACAATTATTTTAATAGTCCTTATGATGCCATCTAATTCCACTCCGTCTCGCTTAACGAAATGTGTTCTTATTCTGCATGGATTGGGGTTACGGCGTCTTGGTCTCACCAGCGCCTTCAGCGTAAATCGAAACCTGGTAATGCAACATTTCATTTCGATATGTTACCTATAGACCACAGAGTTATATCATCTAACATTTTCTAGTGTGATTGTCGATGAAGGTAACTTTTTTCTTATCACAATATGCTGTATTACTTATATTCCACTAAAATTATTATATACGATGTTTGACATCGTTTTCGCAAATTGGTCGTATTGCCAAGGTGACCGAGATGGGACTAATCTGCTATAGTAATCAGTAATGGGACTGTTGATCCAAGTCTGCCCTTTAGCCTGAAATCTCTTTTATGTATATCTTTTCATAGTCTCCATCTTGCCATGTAAGATCTGTCTCTTATCTCCCTGGTTCAGAGCCTTCACTCAATCACTGGATCCATATCTAAAGCATTATGTCCAATAATGCGTCAAGCTTTTCGTGGTACATATAATTCGGCCTCACTGATCAGGCCTCCGAAGAGTAGATTCTCAAAATTGTTATAAAAAGTAACTTGAAGCTGCAGATTACCTTAGCATCGTTCGATATGTGCATCGGGTAAAGCTCGTGATCAATCATTTACTTCATTGACCACGTCCATAGTCAACGTAGTGTGTGGTGAGCAAACTATCTCTCGTCTCCGCTGCATCTCTTGCACTTCTATTCATAATGCCAAGTATTGGACTTTCCTAATCCCTAGTATCTCTTATGTGACAATTACCAAAAGTTGTAGTTGCTTAACTCGACTTGATTAGACTAACTGTAGACGTCTTCTCTTGATTTCTGCTTCTCGTTTAGTGACCTCTTCGTTGCAATTACTTTTATTCCTGTCTGAAATAGTTCCTTGATTTAGTCTGCTTTTTATGCTGACCCTGTTCCCCTCCAATCTCTTCCTAGCTTGCTTAAGCACTATGCAAAGTTTTCGCTAATTCCGCATTATATCAGTCCCTTGTTCATTAGATTTATGTCCGTCAGGATATCTATGGCCACTTGAATCTTTAGTTGTATTGTATCTAATCTTAATCTTAGCGGGTAAAAAAACTAATAATTTGTGGGTTGACACTTAAGAAACTAAGGAGTTTATCGCATAATATGCGGCAACTGTAAGCAAAAGAATATTTATGAAAAAAAAAATCAAGGAACATTATAGACTCTGAAATAAACATGGATACTGGATATCATAAGTAGCGGAATGCAGTGAATACAACAAAACGTAAGATTCATGGGGCCATTGATATTCCGGCAGAATGAAATCTAATTATCAGATAGTTAAGAGAAATTAGAATTAGTGAAAATTATTCTTATTGCTTAATCAAACTAGGAGGAAATCAGGTAATAGCAACCTAAGTATGAAGAACTAAACAAGCTCAAGAAAATATTTTGAACATGACGAAATGGAATAGTAAAGAGGTCACCAAAAGATGGTGGATATTTGAATCCCAAACGTTTAATTACCAACACAATTAACGAAGTGATCTATTCCTAGCACATACTCCTCTAATTTACCAAGGCTATAATAAAATTATATTTCTTCTTATCTAATAAGAATACACTTAAAGTAAAACTGTCTCAACTGCAGACTTAGGTTGCTATTGCAAACTTCTCAGGAATAATTAAAAGTTGGTCAGGTCATTGCATAATTTAAAAAAAAATATAATGATATAACTATAAAGGATCGATATTGTATGACATTGTAGAGAATGAAAGAGATTCTATCTACGAGGAATTGAAGGTAAGACTAGACTTTACATCAACACTTTTCTGCTGCCTCGAATTCGCCTCGGTCTCATCGGCCCCTCTGGCAGGATACGAACCGTAGATGCGCTGATTCGGCCCATTAGCCTATTTGCTTAACGAAGTAGGCTTAACCTTTGAAATGTGTCAGACATTTCACGAATCGCTTCTTGGACTGAGACATTTGTAGTGAAAGAAGTTCGTGCATTTGCTATAACAGTGAAAAGTTAATAGTAAAGAGTTGTTTAGACAAGTGAGTCAAACAGTTACCTCTGAGTCTTCAAATCAGTTTTAGTGTCAATGTACATCAAAGCAAAGAAATGCCTTCCCCTGAATATATCGTGCGTAGAATCGGTGCCTGTCAATACAAAACCATTAGAAAGTTTACTTAGGTCATCTACCAAACTGTTGCATTCTTTCAGTTCATGTATCGACAATATCAGTAGATATAGAATCAAATCTTGCTCGCAAAGCTGACTTCGGGATTGATACCTGAATGTTCCCTTTATAAAATAAATAGCCCACTTATACTTGCCTGTCAAAATACTTTCTCCCTCCTTCAGGGTGGATGGTAGTTTTGACATTGCCCAGTTATCATCGGCACGCCCAACAGTTTTTGCAGAAAGTATAGTGTGTCAGGAATTAACACAGTGCCCCTCCGCCACAGCTATGGGGGTTATTGAATCAAGGGGAATATATGAACTTATAATACCTAAAGTATAACAAATTTGTGAGATTGTTGATAAGGCAAACATTTATTTCCTGTTAAAATCAAAGATCTTGCTTATATTCCTTGTGAGTGTGCTTCAAATATAGCCGTAGAATTTGATAAGTGACTTGAGTCATTCTAAGTCGCTTAAGGTGTAGCCTATCTTGGCCGTTGTATTGTTCATTTAGGTGGCTCATAATTATTCTCATACCGCTAAAGTATAACTATTCTTACGAATTCGAGTTTTGAATAGTTCCTCTGCCTTCTTAAGTTCTTTAACAATTTCCTGCGCACAACTTTTAGTTTATCACTAGGTCTAGTTATTTTTTCTAGTATTCTATTCAATAATTAAAGTTTGCCACCAGCAATGCCTTCAGATAAGACCAATACAAAAGGAATCTCTTTAGCTAAAGTAAACTTATGAAATATGTTAACCTTTTTTGATTAAGAGGGTAAAGGACTGATAATTAAATTTTTCCATTAAATTTCACATAGCCCTGTTTTCCCAAAATGTGTTATC